CCGTTCATCCGTAAGCTGGATATCTGGGGTAAGATTACATTGGAAACGTGTCCCATTTGCTGGGTCCTCAATCCAGGTCAGCTGCAAATAGCGTTGCGTGCTGCAGGGCGCTATGTATCTGGGGGGTGGCGACAGGCACTGAGGATGGAACACTCAGCTGGGGGGTGGCGACAGGCACTGAGGATGGAACACTCATCAAAGAGACATCTTGCTGACACGGAAGAGCAGCATTCCCATCTGAGCTGGTGAGGAATCAGTTTGACTCATAATGCTACTCCCCCTACATGTGCTGTAACCATGGCGATATTCAAAAATGTTACACATACACCTGGATGATAGTGTTGGGTCCTTACATCACAAGCAGGGAGTCAGCAGGGAAACCCCAGCTTGTTCCCACCATATGAAAGAATGTGTACCTATGAAAGAGTGTGTACCCATGAAAGAGTATGTACCCATGAAAGTGTGTGTACCTATGAAAGAGCGTGTACCCATCAAAGAGTGTGTACCCATGAATGAGCGTGCACCTATGAAAGAGTATGTACCCATGAAAGTGTGTACCTATGAAAGAGTGTGTACCCATGAAAAAGCGTGTACCTATGAAAGAGTGTGTACCCATGAAAAACTGTACCATAAGTACTCTGGTGATGGAAAGTGATGCGGGGCTACAGTGGGGAAAGAGGGAAGGTGGTGGTAATTCGGCTGAGGCGACAGAGAAGGCGCCCATCGTAATATCCGCCATGACCATCCCTGCCATGTTCCTCAGAGGGCAACAGAAGAAAAAGACAGCATTGGAAAGGAGTGAAGGAAAGAGGGGCAAAGGTCAGGGCCGTTAACGCAGACGCCGTGAAAGGATGGAAGACACTCCAGGTGTCCTCTTCAGTGCGGACCATTACTGTCTGAAACAAATGGTCATAATGGACCTTTCTGGACACAAGCTCCTCATTAAGGGAACAAAGAAGATTCAGAGAAGCACACGAATGTGCACTGCGCTGATAATCCAGCCAGAATCACTCTTCAAGAAGCGGACGTGTGTACGTGTAGAGAGACTTGCGGGATCAAAGGTGATGTCACTTCCTGGAGTCCTGGCAAGTCTGACAGGGGACTGAGAGAACAAATTATGTGCCGCAGTAGGAGAGCAGACTGCGACCATGCGGGCTACATGAGGGGTTACACTGGTGCAGTAGCAGGGTTACAGGTGAGCTGTGGAGAGATCATCAGCGAGAGGGGAGCAGAGATGCCGTCCACAGCGAACATCACACCATATGAGTGACAACTTCAGCAGAGGAGTCATCTTCGTCCACATGAGCCCCGTCGCCAGTTAGGGCCACAGCAGCTCTGCACCTGCCTCGAAAGGCCCAGCAACCGAGGAAAGTCCACCGATGTACAAGATGAAATCTCTGATCATCTGATCCCAGATCCACAGAGTGCTGTGGCTCTGTCAGGGCCACTGAAGAGACAAACTGGTGGATAAGGAAGAGCTCCTGGAGAACATCACCAGGTCCTTGCAGAACACTGTGTAACGTGGCCCCACACTGCCTTGCCTTTTCCAACTCTCACTTCCCACGTCACTAAGGGATGCATCTTCAAATGTCATGGACTATTTCTGCTTGTTTACATTCCTTACCTATCAAACCTACAAACTGAACAAGAGTGATACGATAACATTATCAAATAACTGGCTTGGCACTCTTAAATCAAAATACATTACCCTGTAGAAACCCTGTTATGGATGATTGTCTTCATTTTCTGGCAGATCCTTGTAGATGTTGACTTTTGTTGCATGAGAAAGGGGGCGGGCTTTGCAACTGAGATTCTCCAATCAGAATCAGTCATGAAATAAGTCAGACTTTTTGAGAAATGCCAACTCACTCGCAAAGGCAGCGTGGGCCGTCATAGAAAAGAATTATGGATTCAGTGACAGAAATTGTGTGGGGAGGGATGTGCGGGGGGGGAGGCCAGCCATTACGCATAGCAACACTTAAGCAGTGAATCCATTCCAAACAGCATCATTGACCTATTACTTCATTTACTTTTGATTGAGATGCTGGTCCAACGAGCCAGATAACCCTGAACAGAAGACATCCTCATTCTCAGTCATGCTTCAGTTGTTCTTAAGAATCATGTAACTAAAGGTTACTGTGAGCTGAGTGTCCAGC